GGTTCGAATCCACTCAGTGACTCCGCAAAACAAAGACTTGGAGATCTGCTCCTGTAAAGATTACAACCTAGAAAACCCTATGGAGCAGTTCTACTCTGTCACATGTGAGCACTATGAGTTGGAATCGACTTGAAGGCACCCAACAGTAACAGAAAGGGAATCTGAGCAAAACTGTGTCTGGAAAGTTGAATGAGAAAGAAGCTCAAAAGAAACAACTAGAGGAAAGCTCTGGTTTCTTTTTTCATTTTGTTTTTTAAGTAGGAAGGCAAAAAGTACCAGATAACCACAAAGGGAAAGGTTTCCTTTTTCTCTTGTTTGGCTGAGACAAGTGCGAGCACACCCCAGGAGAATGGCCCTGTGAAATGCTCTCTAGCCACTTACGTGGCAGTGGTGTTGTTAATTGCCGTAGAGTTTATTCCGAGTCATGATGACCTCACATGTGCCGAGTAGAGCTGCTCCATAGGGTTTTCAGGGCTTTTACCTTTTGGAAGCAGATCGCCAGTCCTGTCTTCCGAGGTACCTCTGGATAAGTTCTAACCACCAACTTTTCAGGTAGTAGTCAAGCTCTTAACCATTCGCATTACCCAGGCACACTTAGATAGTAGGTCAAAATTGGGAATTTTCTACCTTAAGATGGTTTCTTTTTATTTTGAGAAAGCCAGAGTAAGAACATATGTTCTCTAAAACTGCTCAGGAATGTGTCAGTTCATTTGGCTTCTCTTAGGAATCTGCCTTGTTTTAAAATTGAACAAATCTCCCTCTCACCATACAGATATAAACCATAGAACATTGTACTTGGTTGGCTCTGAGTAGTTCTCACTCTCCTCGAGTGTTTTAGGGGCTTACATCATGAAGATCAAAAACAGATTATACCTTTGTGATGGAAATATTGTAATATATGATTTTTTCTTTGTCTCTTTGTTTTGGTTTCCTCACTATGGTTACGTTATACTTAGTCTGTTTTATAAATTAAGAGTTGGCAATTTGTCAATGGAAAGAAATCATAAACTGCTAAAGAAAGGGAGGACAGTAAATAAAATGAATAAAACATAGAAATCTGAACATATGATGACCATATTTCCTGCATGAAAAATCAGTACATGTGGTCTGACCAGTGTGTATCAGACCCATTAAAAAAACCCATTGCCGTCAAGTTGATTCCTACTCATAGTGAACCTATAGGACAGAGTAGAACTGCCCCATAGGGTGTCTAAGGCTGTAATCATTACAGAAGCAGACTGCCACATCTTTCTCCCTTGGAGTGACTGGCGGGTTTGAATCACCAACCTTTCAGTTAGCAGCCAAGCACTTAACCACTGCTCCACCAGGGCTCTTTCTATCTGGAGACAGGAGCACCATATTTTTTACACCAAGAGTATTCCTGACAACTTGGCATGTATAGTTTCTAGTCCCATACAGGTCTTAAGTTAAGGAGTGCGTTTGGGCACCTCTCACTGCCAGCTGAAGGGGCACAACTGGATCTTTGGAGAGGATTAAACCCTTCAGCTATTACCTCAAGGGGGGTATTGGCAGAGAAAGGATACTTATTTCCCTATCCCTGCATGGCACAACGGTTAAGCACTCAGCTGCTAAGTGAAAGGTTGGCAGCTCAAAGCCACCCAGTGACTCTGAGGGACAAAGACCTGCCTAACTGTTCCTATAAAGATTACAGTCAAGAAAATCCTATGCAGCAGTTCTGTGCCACATGAGGTTGCTAGGAGCCAAAACCAACTTGATGGCATCTAACAATGACATTCCTGTGAAGCCATCATCAGGCTTACCAAACCAGTTACCACTGAGTCGACTCCAACTCATGGTGACCCCATGTGTGTCAGAGTAGAATTGTGCTCCATAGGGTTTTCAATGACTGATTTTTCTGAAGTAGATTGCCAGGTCTTTCTTCAGAAGCACCTCTGGGTGTACTTGAACTTCCAACCTTTTGGTTAGCAGCTGAGCATGTTAACCATTTGCACCACCCAGGGACTTCATTAGTAGGCTTAGAATAGTAAAACCTCTCACCAAATTTCAGCTGTTTGGGAGGATTAATGCAAAATTTCACCAAAGCAGCCACAAGGTCAGCAAAAACTCAAACCTGCATATCCTATTTCACATTAACTTTTATTATGCATTAAAAAGTTGATTAAAATCAGGCTTGCTTCCTTCTGCATCACTGTGCTCTTTACACTTGAAGGAGCTACACACTTAACTGCATTTGAATTATGGTGTTGGCGGAGAATATTGAGCATACCACAGACTGCCAGAAGAAGGAACTAATGTCTTGGAAGAAGTATAGCCAGAACCCTCCTTGGAAGTGAGGATGGCGAGACTTCATCTCACATACTTTGGATGTGTTATCAGGAGGGCCTAGTCCTCGGAAAAGGATATCATGCTTGGTAAAGTAGAAGGTCAGTGAAAAAGAGGAAGATCCTCAATAAGATGGATTGACACTGTGGCTGTAACAATGGGCTCAGACATAGCAAAGACTGTGAGAATGGCGCAGGACTGGGCAGTGTATTGTTCTGTCTACATAGGGTTGCTGTGAGTTGGAACTGACTCGACAGCACCTAACAACATACCCACTTAACAAGAAGCGTGTGTTTTCCTAAAAGCAGATTTCTCTTACCTATAGGCTCCCAGCCCTTTTCATGCTTTTACGTATCTGTGTACTTTTTTGTGTTCTGGTGTTTGGAAACATTTTTATAGACAATAAAAAGTATTTCCATAAAGAGTAATTTCATATAAGTGTTCTCTCTCTATTTTAGCTTTTATGACAACTTTTATCCTGTCCGTGCTCTCTCTGGGATAAAACTAGAGTGACAGTCAATGATTAAGAATAGTGTTTTAATATATATTATGTGCTCATATTTTTACTCTTTTTATTTGAAGCTATTACAAGCTGTTAAGACACACAAAAAACCATAGAAAACTAGGTAGATGGGAGGTTTAGGTTTTATGAACGTGAAGAAAAACGAGCTTTGGTGTTTTTTCTTTTAAACTGTCATCTGAAGTTCATTCCTAGGGGAACATACTGGTTTGAGGTTTTATTAGGTCTGGAAGTCATTCTGGAAGTGCCCGTTTCCTCATTCATTTCCCGATTCCATACCCTCCTCCGTGGTCAGAACACTGACGAAAAGAGAAGACAGCATTGCTCTATGGGGAGAAAAGTCTTCCCCTGTCCTTTGATCCTCGTCCTTCTGTTCCCGAATCCTCTTCAACAAGGAGCAAGCATCCTATCTCTGCCAGTTCAAATTATTATAGGCAAAGAGGAACATTAGCAATAAGATTCATAAGTTGTCCCAGGCTAAAGCCAGAAATTATAAAGTACATATTGTCTCCAGAGTAAGGAATTAATTTTACTTTTAACTCAAGCAAGCCCCTGAAAACTATCGTTAATAGGGAGGAAAAGATTCAATTCCCACATTACAAGATGTTCCTCAGCTACACCTTTTTATAGCCAAGAAATTTTACAGACTCCTTGTCTCTCCATCCCCTGCTCACTTTTCCACATTCCTGCAGAGGTTTGGGCTTCCAACCTCAAATATGACCATAAGCTGCACTTCTTGCCAGAGAGTAAATTGGTAGGTTGTTAAGTTCCTCCTCCATCTATTATCAAGTAGATGCATCTGGGAGCTCTGTTTTGTTAAGTAGCAATGTCTGGCCTTGTCTCAAAAAAACACTCTTTACTACACTCTAACAGCTGTGCTCAAAGGTAAGCAATCAATCATTTCTTCCTTATAAGGAGTTTTCACTTGTGTGTCAGCACCTATTGTACTCTCTTCAGACATTCCCCATAGAAACATTAGGACACAGCATCTCTTGATCTTCTTTCTACTTTACCACCTCTTGTCTTGCACCCTCATGAAGTTCCGTATGTAAAAATAGACCTTCTCATTGCCTCAGAGGGTAGACTAATACATACCAAGAACTTTGAGAATTTTAGCTAAATGTCACAATGTAAAATTCAAACCAGTAATAGGACTAAAGAACAAGAGGCTCTGGACTCAGGTTGCTTGAGTTTGAATCTTGGCTTTGCTGCTCATATTACCTGTACACCTTGGGGAAGTTATTTAATATCTTTTTCTCTCAAAGCCTCAGCTGTAAACTGGGAGTACAAATAGTGTTTACCTAATAAGGTTGTTGTAAGCACTGCATGAGATATACATATAAGATTTTTAGAACAGTCTTTGAAATGTTTTAGCCATTATTTTAAGGTTACCCATCTTCTACCTATTGCCACCTCTTCTTCTCCCATTTCCCTCCTTGACCACATGTTCTGTGTCTTCAGAGTGTTATGGATTGAATTGTGTCTCCTTCCCCCCACCCCACTGAGAAGATATGTTGAAATTCTAACTCCTGTGCCGGTAAAATTGACCCTGTCTGCAAACATGGTTTTTCTTTTGTTACGCTAATATGGTCATATCAGAGTAGAACCAACCAACTAAACAGCTGCCCTTGAGTTGATTCCAACTCATGGTGACTCCATGTGTTTCAGAGTAGAACTGCACTCTGCAGTGGGTCTTAAACCAAATCCTGTCTGAGTGGTGGCTTATAAAAACAGTAGAATAGACACAGAGACCCACACAGGGAAAGATGCCATGTGAAGATCCATCTACAAGCCAAGAAATGCCAAGAAAAGCTCAGGGCTACCAGAAGCTGAAAAAGACAAGGAAGGATCTATCTCTAAGGGCTACTGAGCATAGCCCTGCTCATGCCTTGAATTTGGACTCCTAACCTCCAAAACTGTAAGACAATAAATTCTGGTTCTTTAAAGCCACCTACTTGGGGTATTTTTGTTGCACAGTAGTTATTACTGTGCTGGTCTCCATATATGCTTGATAAAAATGCTCTGTGCTCTGGACCTACCCTTCTTCTTGCTCACAGATGAAAACCTTGTCAAACTGGCCCTCTACTTACGGTAAAATAAAGTAATTCATCCTAAGATGGCAATGACTGAAAACATCTATGCATATTCTTTTGTCTCTGTCTTTGTATTTTAACAGGGAACATAGTCTTCATCCAAAGGCATGGATTGCTAAGGTGGCAGACTCGAAGAGGAGATATATTTTCATCTGTTGTTCATTGTTGTTGTTAGCTGCCATCAAGTCGGCTCCAACTCCTGGCCAACTTATGTACAACAAAACAAAAGGTTGCCCTGTCCTGTGCCATCTTCATGATTGTTGATATGTTTAAGACCATCGCTGTGCCCATTATGTCAATCTCTCTCAGTGAGGGCTTCCCTCATTTTAGCTAACCCTCTACTTTGCCAAACATGATGGGTGGTGTCAGGATATTTCTTACATACTTCAAGTTATACATAGAAGGCAGAGATCAACTCTAGCTGCTTAAGGCCTAATAATTAGCTTCCTTACCTGTTTAAAACTTACCATCATCATTATTTGAATAAGAAGAACTCCTGTTATTTGAGCAACTTGCTTCGCATTTTACTCAGGTTATATTAATCCTAAAAATCTCTGCAAGGTATTACTGTACCCCTTTTAGAGATAAGAGAACAAAGGCTCAGAGACATTAAGTGACATGCCCAAAGGTACATGAGTGGTTAAGTATAGGAGCTTGGATGATAATTCAGGCTTGTCTGTTTCCAAAGGCAGTGTTCTAATCACTGCACACTACAGAAATATAACTGACAGACACCTGGTTTATGTCATTCCTCCTTCTAGTGTCAGCCCCAGGAGAGCAGACTCAGTGTGTGACTCTTCTTGGGATCACCCTAAGTTCCTAGCACAGTGCTTTGAACATAATATGGTCTTGATACATGTTGGAGGGAGGAATAAACGGATGTGTGAATGCATCAGTCAAGTCTGTATCTTCCTCAAGGGATGAGATGTCACCAATGATGGTTGGCTGGTTTGTTTGTTGTCATGCCATGGCCTTAGAAGTATTAGGGAAGTAAAACACCACATCCACTCTTCACAGGCCATCTCAGCAATGTCAGTAAGTTAGAAAAACCAGGTATCTGAATCATATTCGTTTGCCCCTTCCCTTATGCAAACAAAACTGCCTATAATGTCAAACATCACCACGAGTCTGGGATACCAGACAATTATATGGTTAATATGACCAAGAAGAACTATTGTTGTTATTGTTGTATACCATCGAGTCAATTCCAACTCATAGTGGCCCCATAGGATAGAGTAGAACTGCCCCATAGGGTTTCCAAGGAGTGGCTGGTGGATTCGAACTGCAGACCTTTAGGTTAACAGCCGAGCTCTTAGAGCTCTTAACCACTGTGCCACCAGGACTCCTTAGAAGAATTTCAGTGCTGTAAAATTTAAGTCCTCATACCCACTTTAGGAAATTTAAATATCTGACTTAGGCAGCCCCCATTTCCAAATTAACTGATACCTGTCAGATTCTCATCTCTTTTTTGCTTTACCTGGCCAGGTATAGATGGTGTAACCTACTGTTGTAGTTAGCTAGTGCCGCTATAACAGAAATACCACAAGTGGATGGCTTTAACAAA